TCAGGTACTTGAAATCATCTCCTGATCAGGGTATTCATTTTAGCAATCAGGCTGAGTTGAAGTTGACAGTCTACAGCGACTCAGATTGGGCAAGTTGCCCAGACACTAGAAGATCCATCACTGGATATTGCACCATGCTTGGTTCCTCCCTGATAACCTGGAAAACAAAGAAACAAACGACTGTCTCAAGATCTTCATCTGAGGCAGAGTACAGAGCACTGGCTCACCTTGTCTGTGAAGTGGAATGGCTGAAGAGGTTGCTGACTGAGTTAACAGTGGAGGTTCCCTTGCCTATAACAGTATACTGTGACAACAGATCTGCTATTCACATAGCAGAAAACCCTGTTTTCCATGAGAGAACAAAGCACATTGAAATTGACATTCATGTGACTAGGGAAAGGATCAAGACTGGTTTAATCACTTTGAGGTACATCAACACAGCAGAACAACTGGCTGATTTATTCACCAAGGGGTTGGATCGATTCAGGCTAAGAGACTTACTTGTCAAGTTGGGGATCAAGTTGATACCACCAACTTGAGGGGGGCTGACAGAATCGAAGAATTGAAGATTGCAGAGTTGCAGAAGAGAAGCAGTGAAGAAGAGAAGTTGAGCTGCTGAAGAGGAAGAAATCCAGATTGGGGAAGGATTTGCTAGAATCACTAAAGGAGTAAAGAAGAACGACGACGTATGAGAAGAAGTGGAGTGAACAAGAGTGAACGACAACGTTTTGTTTATTTTCCCTTAATAGCCGTTAAGTTACTGTTTAGTTTTAATTTGGACGAATGTTGTAAGGACAGCTGGCTCGTTTTGTTTAATTGAATTCCAGCTATAAAAGTTGAAGGGAGACTCAGAGATACCTGAGCTTCTTCTCCAAATCCCATTACACTTTTAGTTAGGGTCGGCGGTTGTCATGGTAGCCGATTTGCTTCCGTCTCCGGAAGCGAGTCTTCCACCCGAAGACTAGAAGTCAAGCCGGCCTTTGACATCGCCCGCAGTTTCTCCTCGTCGGATGATAGCACAACCGAAGTCGCCATCATGGGCGCGCTCTAATCCGCCGTGCGGATCCTCATCGACCTGTGGGTCCTTTTCTTTCTACGACTCCACTCCCAGCGGCGACTCCTCCTTCTCGACCACCGAATCTAGCGAGACAACTTGGGCGCTCAACGCTGGCCCGTTTTCCCATCTTCATCTCCACAGGCACCTGGGCGGTTGGCTGCACAAACGGCACCCAGTCCGTCGCTCCCTCTCTCGCCTCCGTCGGCGATCCATGCGGCCTCGCCGCCAAGGAAGCCGTCATGGATTGCGGCTCTCCTCTCGCGGTGGCCAATGACCTGGGCTCAATTGGAGCCATCAGGAGGTCGTCGATTGATGGTGATGGCCACGGTGGTGCAGTGACAACTTTAATCTCCAGTGCTTTCGACCCAAATAGCGAAGATGCAGCGGTCATTCCCATCCCATGGTTGTTGTTCGTCCCGGACAGTTGCTCGACTACCCTTGAAGCGTCAACGACGGCGGTCGTTGCTGCTGGTGCGGTGGGGCAATCGAGTGTTGGGTTAAATGCTGGGGACAACTGTTGTTAGCTGGTGGTGACGATTGCGGCCGGTGTCTGTGAGGCAGGCCGTCCTGCGGAGGTCATCGCAAGCTGCTTGCTGACCGCCAAGGCTCTTCGCGGCTAGATCTTATCCGACGGTTACTGGTGGGATTATTTTAGGAACCCGAACGCGGAGGTTACCCATTCCGAAGCCAGCACTGTATTGTGCAGCATCGTAGATAGGGATGGCAATGGGTCGGGTTGGGTCGGGTTTTGCTAAACCCAAACCCATGGGTTTATCTTTGAAAAAAACCCGGGGTAAAACCCACTGGGTTTGAAAAACTCAAACCCAACCCAACCCGTTGGGTATCCGCGGGTTCATGGGTACCCACGGGTTTTGTCGTAAAAAATTTACAATTACAAGTTCTTATCAAAATTAAAGTCAAATATCAATCTCTCAATACAAATTATCCATATATAAAACACCATTCTAGAAAATTCAAGCAAATCACAAATTAACTATACAAATTGTTCAACACCAATCTAGAAAACTTTTAAAATATTGAAGCAAATCACAAATTTTCCATAAATAACATGTTTAATTGAAAGTTTCTTCCTTTCAATTAAGTTTCTTTACTCTCCACTCCATAACATCAACTTCATTCTACACAATTAAAAAGAAAAAATTAGACATGTCTCCACAAACATAAATAAGATTAGTTGTTTAGAATATTAAATATACCGAAAAAATTAATTATATGGGTGAGCTGGTACCCACGGGCCGGGTTTACCTAAACCCAAACCCAACCCAACCCGTTGAATAGTGAACGGGTTTAAACCCAAACCCGGCCCAAAACCCGTCAACACGGATTTTACCCGCATTGACCGGGTTGGGTCGGGTTGGTACCCGTGGGTTCGGGTTTTGTTGCCATCCCTAATCGTAGATTCCTCTGAGTTCGATGTGCCTTCTGAAATGAATCCACCTGTTGTTGTAACCCAATGGACGCTCTGCCGTAATGGTTAGCTCATCAGATGTCGTCCTCCGTACCCGTACATCTATGTGCTCTCTCTCAAACTCAGGCAAAAAGAAGGAGAAACAAACGTTCTGAAGGTACTCCGTCCTAGTGATGCTTGGTTCTAGATCTTCATACACGTGTTCGTCCCTGATTGAGAGTTGTGGTGAACTCATATTCGTGACCATGGCTCTGATACCACTGTTAGAAACCCGCTTATTTGGATTTCTAAGGATTGACGTATGGATTTAGGGATTTGGAGATAGAAATTAGGGATTAAGAGAAGAATAGGTGAAGAACGGTAGAAGCCTTTGAGGGAGAAAAATAGTCGAGATTGAGAGAATAGAATAGGGTTTGGGGATATTTCTTTGATTAATCCTTGCTTCATTATAAAGAATAACCGAATACATATTTATAGGAAATACTGAAATAAAGCTGATAATAAACTTAAACTTAACAGTTAACCCCTAAGTTATTGATATTTCTAATAATTATCTTATCATAAATAATAAGTGAATCCCACAAAATGTGGGTTTCTAACAATGTCATAGTAAGTACTCTTAACCACAACATTGCAGGAGAAGTAGTAAGAGATGAATTTTACAATGCTATATAGTATTGGTGCTATAGATTTTTGCTTTTATGGTACAACTTGAAATTGTACCTTTAACGTTATGGTACAACTTTAGATTATACATATACTGTTTATACAAATTCTTTTATGGTACAACTTGAACTTGTAGCTTTATGTGATGGTATAACTTCAAGTTGTAAAGTTGTACCATAACATAATTGTACACATTCTTTTATGGTACAATCTAAACTTATACATTTCATGTTATGGTACAACTTTAAGTTGCACATTAAAGCACCAATACTATATAGCATAGTAGAAATGCTCATAAGAGATATACTGGTGATGACTATCTAAAAGTTACGAACAAGCCAATGAGTAGTACATGCAATGAGCTAGCTAGTCGGTCTAACAAACTCGAGATGTTAGCATAAACCCAAAATTGAATTTGATATCATTCTTTGAGTGTTCCATTGACACGCTGAAACACAACACCAAACTACGACCAAGTGCAATCGCAGTCCGGAAATGCAGAATAGTGGCAAGTTCAATTTATCAATTCGTGGTCTAGATCTACTGCCTACTCCGTGACTACCTGTTATCTAGCGAGACTAAGTTGAGTGAATGTGACTTTAAGCTAAAGCAGTAAGAAAGCAGGGAAATGGTTCGAAGTTCTTAAGCAAGGGAAGAGTCACTCGGGAATGAGTCCCCCTAGCTCCTTAGTTAGGTCAAAGTTGTAATTACCTTTGGTTGATTTACTGTTGATTATACTGCGGAAGATTCGACAGTAGCTTGGAATCTCTTAAGCTGACCAAGCCCTTTCAGACAGACTACCCGGCAGACGACTAGTCTTCACCGGGATAGAACGTTGAAGCAATTAACACAGAACTCCACTACTGGAATTGGATTCCAGTACAAAGCAGTGAATCAACTAACTCTCGAATAATCGAATCACTACTACTGACTCACTCCTACTGCCACTCTAGAAAATGACCAAGTGTAACCACTTCCTAAAACGTAGTACACTACAGGAAAACTGGTTTCTAGTCACGGGATCTTATTCACAGGACTGTTTCCCGTACTAAGAAGTCCAATAATAATCACAAGAAAAATTACCGTAATTGGTGGTATGATTTTAATCACGGGAATCATTTTATCAGTATTTTAGTCTTCACTTCCCGTGAATAATACTTAGTCACGGTTAATTACCGTGAACAATGTAAAAAATTAGCTTTGACAATAATTGTTCAAAATTATAGGAGGGAGTACTTTTTGGCTCCAAATTTTACTTTGGTTTTTGTTTTGACTCCAAAATTTCATTTTCTGCATAAAAATTTCCGGCCTAGAAAATATACCCGCGTCTTTTGAATTTTCACAATTTTCTCCGCGACCCAATGCAGAATAATGAAATGCAAAACTTACTACCCGCTTGGCCGCTTCGCTTCCCTTCCCTTCCCTTCCCTTCCCCTCCTTCTCTCCCCTACGTTCTTCTTCAGAGTTCAGAGAAGTGGAGTTGAGAGAGCCTATCACCACTGATTCCTCTTCCCACCTCCTTCAGTCCTTCTCCAAAACCCGAACTCCTTCACTTATGAAACCCCTCTCCCTACCTTGCATCCTCCTTGCGTTTCCCGAACTCCCCACCTTTGCTCACTTCGCTGCCAAATCGACAATGGCAGAGAGAGCAGTCAACATTGTCGTTGCATTTTCATCTTCTTTATGAAATTTAGGTTGGTTAGCTTCAATTTCATGCTTCGGTTGTGAAATTGGGATTGAAATTTCAGATTTTAGATTTTTTAGGGTTTGAAATCGAACAAATAAGGGATTTTTCAGTTTTGACGGAATTCAACCTTACTTCTTCCAGTTTACTGCTTTCTTCACTCTATGCAGGCATATATCGAGAAGGATAATGCTAGAAATTTGATGGGGAAGATGGCATTGATGGGTATGTTCGCTCTTCGGGCCAATTAATTATCTTATGCTAGCGTAGTTCGATTGATTTCTTATCAAAACAGTACACCCATTGACTTCAACTCTCGATTTACCCTCTCTCTGTATCTTTCAGCTTCAACCCTTCATATTTCATTTCTCAAGCTGTAGATCTACAGACTGCAACATCAACTGAGGTACATGCTATTCTTCTGTTCTTGTTAAGATTTCCCCACTAGTCTCCTTTAGGCATTTAAATTACAAAGTTCTCACATTTTTTACTTTCAAGCAAGAGAGTACCCTAGGAGCAGAAGAATACAGACGACCAAGTGTTTAAGTTTGCACAAGATCATCAGGTTCTTGGTTTCCCCCATTCATTTCACAAGTGACTATTAATGTTTCAGAAATTAATGCATTGGGAAATTTGTTGAACAATTTGTAGGAACAACTGCAATAGGAGCAGAGCTCTTTCAGTGTAGTTTCTGAAATTTCAGCTTCTGCTGCTGCTTTGATGTGGGGCTTAAAGGTTGGGATGGTTGGTGGACGGAAATGGCTATCTGTTGTGGTAAGTTAATTCTTTCTTGCCTGACTGTGGACAGCATGTTCTAATTATCCTCGCACATTAACAAAGACTTGCATGATGGTGCATTAGTCGGGACAAGTGTTCTAGTGCTTTGTTTATGGTTTATGTATATTCGATTGTCTCAACAGCTGAGTTTGATATAGAGTAGTAATTGTATAGCAACAAAATCATCTTCTTAACAGTAGAGTTACGTCTGTCAATTGATTGGTCAAAACTTGCAGCTTCCGCCAAGTCAGAGGAGAAAGGCGACCCTGCTCTGAAGCTGAAGAAGAAGGATGGCGGTGGGGGAGATGGTAAGAACAACTGGTTGGTGTCTTCAAAGGGTGTAACCTTGCATTTGATTTGGCCGACTTGTTGAGGGCGTCGATGGAGGTGCTTGGGAAGGGAGCCACGTGACGACTTATGAGGCTGCGTTGGAGGATGCGATGACGTCAGTTGTGGTGAAGAGGTTGAAGGAAGTGGGCTTGGGGAAGGAGTTTGAAGGGCAGATGGAGGTGGTTGGTGGGATTAGGCGTGGGAATGTGTGTGCTTTGAGAGCTTATTACTAAAGGATGAGAAGCTGATGTATATGATTTCTGCGATGGGGAAGTGTCTTTGTTCTGTTGCATGGTACGTGTTCTGAAACTTAAATCACTTTCTTGGATTTGTTTGTTGATGGTGTACGAGTTTATAACGAGTCTAATTTGTTCTATATCTCATACAAGGTTTTCCTACTCTAACTTGAGTCTTAGACCCGTAATAGTTACACAATAATTCAATGTGTGTTTTGCATGCGAAAGAGAGGAAGGCAGGACACCCTTAGACTAGGAAACCAGAATGAGGATTGCACTAGGTGCAGCAAGGGGAATTGCCTACATCCACAGTATCCACATGAATTATGTTTCTAGGGTAGAACTCAATCAGTAGTTTGCCGAATGAATTTGGAGAGCATGGTAAGCCTTAGTAAGCTTGATTTTAGTAGGATTTTTAACTTCTAGTTCTGTCATCCAGATCTCCCTGCTGTTGCTTATTAACTGCTGTCAATTTATTGCTTTAACAATAGATAAATTTAGATTCGAGCCTTTGCCATGGCCTGCAGTTCTCTTATGGTTGGTGGCTCAAGGTGCAAGGTACTGTAAACCATTTGATACATTGTCCTATGCCTTTTCCTCTATTTGAATGAAGGTTCTTTGAGCTTGATTAGGTTCTTAATGATATTGTTTTGGTATGTATAAGGACAGCAAAGAAGATAAGGATCAGACATTGTTCCATCCAAATGACGTGTAACTGCTTGCTTGAGTAGAAGAGTAGAAAACTCAATTAATAAATATGTGCATGCCTAATATTATTGTTTCCCAAAGAGGAGCTCTTTATATGGTTATAATATATTCTTGTCTTCTTCTTTTCATTTATGGAGTTTCTATGAACAATGGGATCAATTGCTTCCGTTTGTGCAAGGAGATTTTGGCTTCTTGTCCCCATGTTTTTCCTTTGTTAGCATGGGTTAAAGCTGCTGTCAATTAATAGCACCAACATAATATATACCATATGAAGAGGTACTCAACTTGAAAACCATAATGTCATATTTGTTAGAAACTCATCAGTCCTTGGTCTTACAGTTAATCTTGTTAGAATACTGCAAATTCAATTATCTTAATAGCAAAGTAATAGTTTCAATTCCTTCCCTGGCTGGCTGTCTGAGGTAAGGGATGTGGAATGCGCTTTCTTTTTTCAAATTTCCATTTAGGATCTTTGACCACTCTACCTCTGCAATTTTTGGAATTTCAGTTTCTGCTGCTGTTTTTCAGGTGGAAGTGGTTAAGTCACTAATTTATGGAATTTCTGCTGCAGGGGGTTGGCTGCTCCGGTTTTGCTTATAGCCATGTTCGAAAGTTTCTGCATCTACCTGCAGTCACTAGCGTTTGACGCCTCAACCACTGATTTAGGCTCTTAATAGGTAGATTTGTGCTCATCTTATAATAGTTCCATCTCGATCTTGTACTTCTAGGTATCTCTACAGCAAATTTATAGGTATTGGGGGTTAACTATCCTTTCAATTTGATATAGGTTACCTTTGCAGATTATATAAACACATAAGAGGTAGCAGCAACAACAACAATAGGCCTACATTGTCGTTGGATTCAAAATTCGCAGAGCAGTTAGTGTGGGACACCAATATAATTAGATATGTAATTAGTATATGTTTGGTAGGAGTTTTTTGCTACAAAAATATTAGTCTTATCAACTATATGTTGTTCAATATATTGATGAATAAATAATATTGGAACAATTTATATTGACAATAATGTTATAATTTTATTGTCTTTTCGATGGTATGTTAATAATGTGTTATTATTATAGATTCGTGATTAGCAGTTTGTAATTAGCTACGGAAAATATGGTGACTAGTGATTAGTATTTAATCACAGACTCACAGTACAACTAACCAAATGCCGTGATGCCCGATAGACATCTAGTCATGGAAAATGATTCTGTCACGGTTAATACCATCTTAAAAGAAACATATACCGTCTTTAAAAGTTTTCTTTCTTGCATATGTTCTCCAAAATTTGGCACTATGCCGTGAGTAATAGGTAGTCACGGTACTATAACTAATCACGGTATACAATTAGTCACGGAGCTTTATATTATGGTAAATTTCCCGTGACTAAAATTATTAATCACGGGAAACATGCTTTTAAACACGTTATTTCCCGTGATTGAAGAACCTTTTTCCAGTAGTAGCGGGTATGGGTTCTAATGTCAACCCGGGTCCTAGATGTGATGACTACTCAGTGAATTCTTATTATCTAGCAGTGAAACTTTAGTGTAGGTTCAATTAAGCAAACAAGCAAGCAAATAAACGGTTGTTTTCAAGTCGAGAGAGGTCACCCGGATATGGTTCCCCCTCAATCTGAGTCTCCAGCGGGCGACTAACCTCCACCGGAGTAAACAAATGAGGCTCTAATGAACAAAACCTCCACTACCGAAGTGAATTCGGTACAGAATAGTGAGTTGGCGCCTTGCCTAAAGTCACCAACTCCCTACCTTCAATCAAGGGTGCTCTATCAACCTAGGCAGATATTCTCTTTCTAGGTTAAAGCAGAAACAACAGGAATGTGATCAGGATTCATGCCATTCAATAAATCCAGCCTCAATTGAACATAAACAAATCATAGAATCTGTATTTGGGTTCATACAATCAAACCTAACATACAAATCTAGGGTTCTTCATACCCAGGTGAATAAGAAGTTTACTCCATAGTGAGAGATGGGAAATCTAGCTCAGATACGGAAACCATACTGTAAAGGATGATAATTTGCTTCTGGCGCTCAATCGGATCTTCTCCAAGCCCAAGCCGGGCTCCAATGGTGATGAAGATCAAGCTAGAGCACTTGGGAACTCTGGTTCGTCACTTTCTCTCTCTAGGAATCGCTCTCTCTCTCTCTCTCTCTCTCTCTCTCTCTAAAACTCGGAACCCCTTCTCCTTTGGCTCAAATCTGCCTAAAAAGGCTGACCCTGGCAAAACACGGTCGAGGGCACGACCGTGCTTTGCTTTTGCACGCCCGTGCCCTTGCCACGTGTTAAAAAAAACCCCCGCATCTTGGGGAAAACACGGTCGTGCCTAAAGTGGGACACAACCGTGTTTTCTGTCACTCCCGCCCGTGTTTTGGGCCAGCACAGGAGCGTCTTGGATCAAGACTCGGCAGTAAAAACACGGTCCAGGAACACGTCCATGTTTTGGTTTAGTCCAGCCCGTGCTTTGGCCTTCTCATCACCTCAGCTCTCGGCAATAAAAACACTGGCGTGCTTTTTGGTGTACACGGTCGTGCTCTTCAGGCCTCCTGCCCGTGCTTTGGCCCCAGCTCGACCGAATGACTTCCAAATGCCCCGAAACTCGTGCTTAGCCTTTCCTTCGACATCTGGGACCTGAAATATGACAAAGTAGCACAAGTGCACAACCCATCATAAATAGGCTAAAAACACACAACTATGCCCCGCAAATGGATAAGAACTAGGGGTACAAACATGTGCAATTACATCGTTATCAAACTCCCGCACACTTAACCATTTGCTTGTCCCCAAGCAAAATAAATCAGATACAAGGTAAGCTCAACACATTTCAATCATGCAACCCTTGGGGACATATCATGTAGGCACGAAACACGGGAATCATACTGGCTTTTAGACATCAACACATGAACAACTTCAACAGCAACCTAGACAACCACCACAGAAGACATTCGAGTGCAGCAAAATCGAGCAAAGGAAGACTCTCCCTTCTGTTCACCAACCAGCATAGACTTGGCTCAACCACTTATTCAAGACAGTCACTTCATGTATAACGCTCAAGATATCAGAATTAAGACCGAGCAATCTAGGTCCTCACCGGGATAAAGAGTATATAGAATATGAGAAAATGAATCACTCACTCTCGACTAGTGGGGTCAGGACAATTTGATGCGAAAAATGCGCATGCTTATTCTCTCAATCCCTAACGTCTCTTCACCATGAATGCAGCCTCTAAATGCTAGAGTTCACATATGGGGTGTCACCACTAACTAATCCGGAGGTCTTAGACACAGGTTCAAATGACTGGCTAGGGTCTTGGACATGGGGAAAAGGTCTTTTAGGTGGTGGAAGTATTCATAGCACAAGGTTCCACAATTCCAAACCCAACACTATTACATCCAATCAATCCACTTACTTTCTTTCTACCATTCTGCATTACTCGAGTTCTTAAGAGCACAAGAGCGAAGGAGTCACATAAATGTTAGTACTTCCAAGCCAAACTGCTAAGAAGCACTACTTAACGGGTACTATTCGGATTTTTGGTGGTGGCTCTTTTGCTTCCATTCATTTCTTTTTTTTCTTTTTTTTTCAATTCTTGAGAAAACCACCACCTATGCACATTTTTCAAACATATGCCCAACTTCTTAAGAACTACCTCCAACCCTCACATTATATTTAGCAGAAATAGCAGAGAACATGTAAAAACCACTCTGTGGAACCTTCTAAGAGATGCAAAAGGGCGATTTTTCATTGTAGACCGAAAGAAAGGATAACACACGGCTCAACGGGGCTGACTAGGGGATGTGAAACATGAGGACAGTCAATTTGGTCGTAGGCTCATCCTATGCCTCCATCATCTTAACTAATGACAACGTGAATGCTGCACATCATGGAAGAGGGAACTATCGCACAAGAAAGAAACGAGCAGGCTCAAATCTCACATGGCTACCTATATGCTCTATCTCTCATTCTGATTCCCTGAACTAGATGCATAAACGACTGTCAAGAGAAAGTGATCAATCCAAGTCACAGTTGGTAAGCAAACAGTTGAAAAACTGGACCCCTACACAACTCTACTGCACGTTTCAGTCATCATTATAGGCTGTCCTGGTTATAATCAGGTTGTCATGCATTAATTCCAAAGCCATTCGATTCACCAATCAAATCCACAGTGCCAATATGATCAAGCAAACAGCAGTACTTGGAGCCCTCAAATCTCGAGATTTGGACAGCGGACTAGGCTCCAAGCACACATATATATATACACGTTCCAAT